GCTGAATTTTTAGCATTAAAAGCAGAATATACAGATACGGAAGTTTCACCAGATTCGCCCATAAAGTCTTGGTCTCTAATTATTCCATCGAAGATAGGCTGAGACAAGGAAGGATAGGTATCGATGTATTCAGGGTCCAGACAGGCCAGATTGTAGGATGAGGGTCTTTGAGGCAGATATGTCGCTTTGCTTTTGATAGTTGCAGTGTTAATGGATATAGGAATGATGTTCTGGCTGGTGGAGCTTCCCACAGTTGACGGTGAAGCTTTAATTACAGATAAGCAGGGCAGTTCAAGAGTTGAGAGTAGAGGCGTGAAGAAATGCTGATCTCGTTCTATAACGTTACATATTGGACTGATTTCAGACGAGTCTAAACCACTATAATCCGCTGATATGAGGTCATTAGAGCCTATTTGACCTGTCAAACTGAAAGCAAAATATAATATAAAACCTATTTTCAATTTGGCCCTTAATATTTATCAGAAAAGTCCTGAGTGCCATAACAATTAAATAATGAAATATGTGTTAGATTTTCTAAAACCGTGGCGAAAGCCAAAAGACCAGGTCCTACTTTTAATTACTCTTACCTCTAAAATTATTTTAGATCCACCCAACTCCCATACAGCATTCAAGATAAGTTTCACCTTGCTATGTGAGGGAAATCTTTCTTTCTTATGGTTTACTTTAAATATTCGGTTAAGAAATTAGTCATCCCAGGTGATTTTAGGACTGTTATTTGAGTTTTCTTAACAATAAGATTAGTAGACCTTACGATTACATTGGATTTCACTTAACCTTGCCTCTCAAAAGCTTATCTCATCCAGGATGGACTGCGCTTTCGACCTCGCCTCGAGCCCATAATCATCCGAAAAGGGATTTTTACGACCTGTTATCGAATTCCGCTATATGTGAAAACAAAGATAGTATGGCCTCTATTTTTGCAGCAGTCTTCTTTAGATGTATAAATGTGGTCTGATCTCGTTTTCACAATTCTGTCATGTCTTCAGGGCGACTTACTTTGGCGAGCCGTTTCTAGAGTAGTTAGCATAGTTTCAAGCGTCGGACCGTGGACTTTGTGCATATTTAGTTAGATAAAACGTATTTTTGATAGGCAGAACCAGGGATTATAAAGAATGACCCGCAGTCATTTAGACCGCTATTCCTGTTTTTTAGTGCAAATAAATAAACGAATTAAGTAAATTATAAAACGCATTGCATTTTTAAATTAATTATTGGCATTCATCGACATTCATCCCGATGGGAAAGTTTGAGAGATAATTTATGGAATGACTGAACCATTCTTAGATGTTGAGGTCATTCATTCAGAGTAGATTTTAAGTCTTAACTTCCAGTCTTAGCACAATTAGGGAATAAAAATGGGAATACTCCGAAGTATGGTCATAAAAAGCATACGACTTACAGATTCTGAGTTCTGGAAAGAGGAACTGAAAAAATAGACTTAGATGCTTCATGGAAACAATTATACAGAAAAAGCAATACAACAAAACATATGGATCACTATGGGCTGAGGCAAGGACGGTGATTATAAAAGGAAGGCAAAAGAAACAGGAAAAATGATGGATATATCTGCCGTCCTGCAAATTGGTTAGGAAGCTGCGGCCAATACTATTGAAATGGGATATTCGTACAAGCTTGAAAGAAAGGACAACCCTTTTTATTGACGTGAAGAACTCAACAAAATGGAGTGCTTTGGACTCTACGGCATAAAATGTAAGGACTGTAATGTGAGATTTATCCACCTTATTTTGTTTAAGGTGAAGAAGGACTGGTAGTAGAATTTACTCACAATGAAATGAGTAGAGCTGACGTTTTAATTGAATATTACATAGCCTTGCTTTCCTAAAAGTTGCTCTCATACAGGGTGGACTGCAGTTTCGACCTCTCATAGGTCTCATCAGCACTCCCATTAGAGGTCGAACTGTGATACTGCAGCATATGAGCTTGACAAGTTAACTACTTGTCCACATTGCCACGAGTGCCCTTGGGTGACAGGGCCTAGGTCAATTTCAAGGAAGGCCAGGCCTTTTTCAATATCACATTCTTTGCTGGGATTGCCTGTGAAGCAAACGTATTTTTGCTATAACAATAGACTATATCGCTTATTTTCTGTATATAAGCAGAGTTTTGAGACTACTAGCAAATCAATTATATGAGATATATTCACCTTATTTCGTTTAAAGTTTACTGGTAGTAGCATTTTCTCACAATGATATGAGTAGAGTTGAAGTTTCCATTGTAAACAAAAATACATCGGCGGGTCAGGAAGAACAATTAGTACAAGGGCCAAAGAACATCAGAGACTTTGCAGAAAAATGGATAACTAAAGATTTGAGATAGCTGAAAACATCTCCTTTACCGACCACACAATTGAGTGGAGTTCAACGAAAAGAGGAGGAGAATATGAGGAGAATATCAAAAACAGAAGATTGAGAGGATTTGGACATCCTCTTTCAAAGAAACCTCGTGAACAGGGGACTGGAAAAGGGAAGAATCAGGGGTAATTTCGCGTACTGCCTGGGTAGCCATGGAGATTGAGGATATCAAAAAGAAGATGCTTGGGCCGAGGACATCTGTTTTATAACAAGAAGAGGCATCTCCAAGGAGAGGATCATGAGGGAGAAAGGGATATCAAGCAAAGGTGATTGTATTGAAGGGAGTCAAACTTGAAATCACCCTAAAAATTTACCGGGTTGAGAAAAAAAAAAGCAGCACTACAAGGTAGGACAAAAATAAGGGCGAGGAGTGATGTCACAACGGTTAAAAAAAAATTTGTCAAGGGGATTGTCTTCATTTGTCACTTTGATAAGTTGTAACGCTGTGCTTACGATGGTTCTTCTCACTGGCGGTGCCGACTACGTTTCCGGTGAAACTGTACCCAGCGAATGATCCAGTACTAGAAATCACGAATACTGGCAGAGGACACGGGACTAGGTACTCCCCACAAGGTCTCTCTGATGTTCTGACCAAGTTGCAAAAACGATATAAAACCAAATCCTAATCCTCGTTTTTGCAACTTTGTCAGAGCCACAGGATGACCTAGTAGAACATACCCAATTCCGCGTCTTCTGCCATACTATTCATGAGTAACAGCATCAGACCTTTATTTGATATAGTCAATATGTCAGTCAGAGGCGTTATTCTTACCTCAGAGTTACAATTGATCAAAGTGACAACATAGATTATTTTGCCTTTTCTTTAATATTAATTTGTCAATCCATTTTAGCTGATTCAACCTTCGGCTCACATCATTAAGTAACGCCAAACTTAAAC